GCCCGCCCCGCGTCCCTGAAGGCCAAGTTACTTGCACGCTGCCCCTCGGAACGGCACGACAGCTGTTCTGCTCAGAAACTTGCAGAGGACGGTTCCCACACTGTATGGCCACCTGCTCAAGGACGACGCTTTAAAACCTGGTTGCATTGTAGCCGCAGATTTCACCGTCATCTGCCGAGAATTGCTGAGGAACAAAGATGCAGTGGCAAAAATCCTGCAGAAAGATGGCTTTTGGATTCCTCCACCTCTCCAAGTACTCCGCCAAGAACAGATAACTCGTGGAGTGGTACTGTCTCAAAACAACAGGCCTTGCTTTTCCCTTACCTGCTGGCCTACAGAGCTGCCCAGCATCCACAGACTATCTAGCTCTCAACACAGGTTCTCTCCTCTCCTCGTGACTGGGGCATAGGCTCCCAGCTTCTTTGCTTTTGCCTTAGCTCAGAACCAAAATCTGTAGACCTGCTTAGCTTATCCACCTATAATGGCCTTTTAGCTCCAGGACAGACTAGCAGGATCTTCATGAGAGTACCACAGCAGAAAGCCTCTCCCTCTACATCAGCCAAACATCCAACTTGTCACTGTCCAGTGTTACAGTAAAAAGCAAAAGTTCTTTATTAAAAAAGCAGAGTAAAACCCAACATGAAGAATCACAAACACAAACCAAACAGTCCACACAGAAAGTTTCATTCTCCGGTTGCCTCTTAAAATATGTATCGCAAGTTCGTTTCTCTCACCACAGACTCACTGGAGAATCTAGCAGGAGGCTCTCATACTGCTGCCCTCACAGAGGTCTCCACTTTCTCCAATTCAGACCCTCACATCCTTTCCCTTTCTCCATGCTACTTGTCCTCCATGAGGACTTGTGTTGCCAGGAAAAGGAAGCACCTTCTCCCCTTTGTGCTCTGAGAAACAACTCCCCAGCAGTGAGTCAGAAGCATCACCGCGTCTCTCCAGAGTAAGGCCCAGAGAACAGCACTCGGCTCCAGGATTCTGAGAAGCCAGCAGGACTGTTTTGCCATTTGTCATAGTGGAATGAAATCCTGTTGCATTTTGGCCACAAGAACTCCAGCCAAGGGCTGCAGTTCACAGTGAGGAAGCACAGACGCTGACCCCCGACGCGGCACCCCACCCTTTCCATGCTAGTCAGTGTTGCAGAGGCTTGAACCACGGCCAAAGCCCAGCTGGCCAAGAAGGGTATGGATAGCCACTGCACAGCAGTCCCCCTCTGCATAGCTGTTCCTGTATATAATATATAATGAATGCATATCTACTGCCCATGACTACAGCCAGAGCCATGGAGGGGCAAGGTGAAAGAGCCAAAGTGAGCCCCATCAGCTGCTGCTTCCATCTGTAAGCACTGGGTATAAAGGCACAGGTGGGTAAGATCTGGTGCTTCCAGCAGCTTCAGGACTCCATGGGCAAAGTAAATGGATCCCACCTACAGGAAACTGTAAAAGCTGCTGCCAGTCATTTATCAGGTTTCACTGTGAACAGCCCTGGCATCCAAACAAATGCTTCAGAAGGAACCGCTGCCCAGGGAACATACAACCCCCTGGTAACAACAGGGTGTGCTGACACACTGGTGCTGTATAAAAGGACACAGAAACTACTTCAAGTGCTGTAGCAGCACAGGGGAAGGGCTCCATATCAGGAACTCAGACCTACGAGCCTCTATCCCAGCCCTGGATGATTGTTTCCTCCTCTGAAGAGAAAGAGCAATTTTCTGTGTTTGCAAGCCTTCGTGTCACCCCACTGACAAAACTGTCACACTTGGAAAGAAGGGGCTGTACCTGAGTTGCTCACCCTCTTCCTGACAGCAGTTATCTGGATTCTTCAAGCCATGCTCTCATTTCCTATAACTGTGGGTTCCCAAGGGGGAACCTTGCACATATGCCATGATGGCATTCTGCAAGAAACTTGCTCGCTGGGCCTCTTCTTCTCTCATCCTGGAGATATCAGCCTCTTTCATTCTCAGCTTCTCCAGCAGCATAGAGATTTCACCTTCTTTGTCCAGCAGTGCCTCACGGTGATTACTTGAAAGGGCTGTGAAAGAAGAGCAGCATTGGTGAAGAAAATTAGGGTGTCCCTAGAATAAACAAGAACAACCTATTATAGGCACAGCCAAAGGCAACGCAGGCAGGATGACCAACAGGCACACGAGAGAAGCTGTGTGAGACATGAGAGGTTTTGCACAGACAAGATGTTACATTTCACTGTGCAGGAAATCCAAACGTTTTGCTTGCTGTGCAGCTTTAGGTAGTTATGAGTCTTGGTCTCCATAAAATGAGGACAAGAATCCCTGCAAATACACCAGAATGGAGGGTACAATTCATGGTTGTACACACAGGCAGGAAGAACCGTTGTCACCACCTGTAAGCATAACTCAGTTCCAGGCCTACTGTAGGGTAACTCAGCATTACCAATTGAGAAGTGTGAAAGAATCCATCACCTTTCAGCTGTCTCTCCAGGGCTGCAATCTTCTCTCTCAGTCCATCCTGTGCTGTGCGTTCAGCCTGCAGGTGTCCAATCTGCTCCTGTAATTCCACTTTCACTTTATTCACCTCTGTCACTTTCTCCTCTTCCTTACTGTTCAGGTCCTGACACATAAAGACAAATCCATGAATATCCAAACAACTTCAGCAACTTGCTCTGCCCCTGTGATGACCATATCTCTACTCCAGTCCAAATTACCTGCTGAAGTTCCTCTAGCCGCCTTCTGAGTCCATCAGCATGCAGGTCTAACTGGTTGGCTCTGGCTTGGGCCTCAGCAATCATTTGTTTTTGCTTAAGGCAGCAGTTCTGAGCTTCATCCCGTGACTCAGTCATCAGACGCAGCTTCTCTTCTAGGTGTTCTAGTCGTTGCTGCTGTAAGACACAAAGGAAAATGAAAATAAATCAGTCCCATTCCACTCCTGCAAAGGGATTTTCCCCTTTTTGTTCCCAACACAGTGAACCCTTGGTTGAGTCAATTGGTACTGAAGAACAAGCACAGGACTCAGCTGTAATAAAGACCGCACTCCTCCCTCGCATTCAAGAGTGAATCTAAGCTGCTTTTTGTTGCCTGGGAAAACACTCCGAGGGAGAGGCTGCAACACTCAGCTCACTCGCTGAGAAACAGAGGTATGTCCTTGGTCGAAGCACCAATGCCACCACCAGTGTTTACAACTAATGCTCTATCTTCACTTCCTCCATATCCCAAATGGCTCTGAAACACTGCTGTATGCAGCTAAGCAACTGCTGTGTCTGAGGCTTTTATATGTTTGCAACTCAGTAAAGCATCTTCTTTTCTGATGTTACATATAAGTAAGCATTCTAATAGTTGGTGCATTATCCTAACTCCTTGTTCTCTTTCACAGGGTGTTGACCTTATTGCCATTCTCATAAAGTTTATCCAGCAGCACTAGCCACCTGCAGAAATTCCTCTGAGTCCAGAGAAACAGGAGCAGCCCATGAAAGCTGCTGTTAAACAGAACGATTGACATCTGGCTGTTAGCTTCAAAAGTTGGCAACTTAAATGAGACCTGCTATGACAATATCCACATCAATACTGTTACTACTGGAAAGCACAGAGCGGGTGGGGATAGTGGTTACATTCTGAAGACAATTCAAAGCAGACTTTTCAGGACTCCTTCCTCAGAAATCACACTATTTGCAGACCAGTGAAACCAGGAGCGGGGAGTTACTCAGCAGTTTCCTGAGATGAAAACGTAGATTAGGCAGTCAAATCCACTCCTTCCCACAGAGGCAGGTATCTGGCAGGGTCCACAGACAGGTACTGTCCTTACCTCCTCCAATCGTGCCTGATTCCGGACTTTTATTAACTCCTCCTCTGCCTGGCCTCGCTCACTGAGCGCAGCTGCTTTGACTTGGCTCAGCTCCTGCCACAGAAACATGAAAGATCATTCCAGAGAGAAGCTGTATCACTGCAACACTGACCTGAAAACATTAGCAGCTTCCAGTTGCAGGCTACAAGGTGACACAGCTGTCTCTCGCACTCAGGGGCAGGGAAAACAAACCCAGATTACATACCATTTTTCACTCTGAGTTTGCCATCTAAATTCAATAAGAAATTTCAGTTATATGAGAGCAAGTAAGGGGAGAAGCTTTCCAAAGTCAGGGGAAATAGGAGAGGGCAGCGCTGGATCTAGCTGGGGGAACAGATATGGAGAAATACGCTACACTACTTGGGACCACATGGGAAATCTGTGAAGTCAAATCCTGGTAAGAATCTAACCATGGAATTCAATGGAATCTTTATTTTTGTTCAACGAGAATCTACAAGTTTCTCCTTGGAACCTTCTCCTTCCTCAGTCCAAAGCAGTAAAAATAATTTTAGCTGGTAAACTGCCGTTTTCTGTTCCTCCCTACAGCACAGGACAATCTTTACACAGGTCAGCAATGGAAGACTCCACAGAGCTCCTCTGGTAGCCTTCTCCTGCCACTGCTACCTGAGCATTCCAAAGGACGTGGAGCCTCCATTCTCACCTCCTCCAGAGCTATTCTGATGGCCTCCAGCCTCTGGATCCTGTCCTGCATGGAACGTTCACTGGCCTCAATGTGCTGTGTCATATGATCCACCTGCAAAGCAGTAGAAACCATTTAAGCAAGTGCCAGAAAACCACACCTACCTCCAGGCATAGCCTCATGGCCATTTGGCATGAGAGAGCGCATCCTCTCATTGACCCACCTACTACCAAAGAAAAACTCTTACCTCCCCCAGAGCTCCACTAGGAAACTGTAATATAGATTGAATCTGCTCTCTAGGAACTGGGAACTTTAAACAGAGATCCCTTCCAGGCCAAGAGGAATGATACAGATTCCGAGCTCTCATCTTCAAGTGGTATGAAACACCAGAGATTCATTCTCTAGTTGTAATGTGGCTAAAATCCTCCTGGCCTATGTCTTTTCTTACAAGATTTCAAAACCTTCAGTGAAATCTATTGGTGTAATTTTATTTTTGAGAGATTTCACACCTCAATAAACACTCCAAAGAGTTGATCACAGCCTCTTGTCCTGTCCACACTCAGACAGAATCCCCCTGAAACATAACAGAGAAGGAACTAGCAAGCTGAGCCTCGTTAGAGGACTGGTTGTTTATAGCACGTACATCTCAATTTCCTCCACTAATGCATCTTTATTTCAGTAAGCACGGCAAGACTACTTATTCGTAATTACCTCTACGCATAGCAAGACTGACACAAGGGCCAGCCTCCAAGACTCTTTTGCAGAATCACATACCAATCTGGCCCATACTCTTGCAAGCTACAAAATCTTACTAGCTGGTAGAATGTCTTGTGATCTCTTCAGCTAGGCTTTGCTTGTAGAAATGGCCTATTCTTCCCACAGTATGACTGAGTCTACTAATTTTTAAACTTGTTTAAGAGCAGATGACAGCAAACAACGACCTCCGGTAGCTCATGGATGTTAGCACCAAAGAGGGACTAACCTCAGGATGCTGCAGAAAACCTGTTCTTACCTCCTTTACCCGAAGGGATTCCATGTCTTCAAGGCTTTGTTTAAATCTTCTCTTCTCCATTTCCAGGCGTTCTGCAGATTAAAAGCAGGCACATCACAATTATGGCA